ATAATGCCTACCAGGTTAAGTTACCAAGTCATATTCGCACATCATATATTTTTAATGTCAAGCATTTGGTTCCTTACAAGAGCCATTATTCTAATGAGGATTCCGACAACTCGAGGGCAAGTTCTTTCCAACACGGGGGGCTGATGTAGCCGTGGACCAGCAAAAATTTTCCTAAAACATAAGGAACATCTAGAAAAGGAATTGAGGGAAAACAAGGAAAACCAGAAATTTATAGAAAGTTTTGATTTGTTCCTATTTGATTTTCAGCAACTTTAAATTTTCAACAACTTTCCGATTTGATTTTGACTTATATGGTAATTAGCTATTCTTAGGTTTATATAAAGATTTGTAATTTCTAGGGTTAGATTAGTTTTAGAATTACAAGAATTATTTTTGTAACGACCCACTCCACCCCATGATATGATATTGTTCGCTTTGGGTCTGAGCCCGCATGGTTTTGCTCTTAGGCTTTTACCCTAAAAGACTTCATACCAATTGGAGATGACACACTTATATATAAGCACTTAACATTTCCCTCTCCCAGGCGATGTGGGACTTGTGCACCCGTAGCTTGCTAATGTGGTAGCTTGACAGTATCTCTCGCACCCGCCCACGGCACACTCGCCCACAAGGTCATCATAATCCACCCCCCTTGGAGGCCCGACGTCCCCATCGGCACATTTCTGGCTGGGTCAGGCTCTGATACCATTTGTAACGACCCACTCCACCACATGGTATAATCTTGTCCGCTTTGGCCCTGAGTCCACACGGTTTTGCTCTTGGGCTTTTACCCCAAAAGGTCTCATACCAATTGACACACTTACATATAAGTACTTCACCTTAATTTCCCTCTCCTAGGCGATATGGGACTTGTGCACCCGTAACTCGTCAGTGTGGTAGCCTTACAGTGTCTCTCACACCCGCCCACACGGTCATCACAATTTTACAGCAAATATAGTTTGCCTTTCAATTATCCTTTCTCTTGCTTTTTGTTCTTATTTCGTTTCAATATTATTATGGAGACGATTTATTCATATCCTCTTGGTAAGGCGGCATCAGAAACGTACTTGTTTAGATGAAAAAATAGTAGAATTTATATAGAAAAGATAGATGCATATATGTTTTACCTACCTCTTTAGCCACATCAATATGTTATGTTAATGTCACCTCAGAATTGTTTGGTCGCAATTGAGATTCATCATAATGTGTTATGTAATAGTTTCATTAGAGGTATGGAGGGTTGCTGATGTCATATTTGATATATTGGTGGATGATAAGTATGGTGATTTATGTGGAAAAGTGAGAAATATTTCTTCTACAAATCTGATAGAGAATAGAAGAGAGAACAGATTGAAAGGGAGATGACAGAAGATATATCTTGCAAGTAATCGAAGAAATTGTACTTTTAAATTGATATGTTCTAGGGGTGTCTCGATTTGAGAGAACCATAGAACAAAGACGAATAGAAGCATCCCATCACTACTCTTATGTCCAGACTCCAGCATGATGTAAGAAGAATAGAAGATAATTTCAACTCGTTTGTCAACACATTTTCCAAATCCATCCTCTGCAAATGACAAGAATGACGTCATAAATACATATTGGAATCTTGAAGCATGTAAACAATATTGCTATAATATTGTTAAGAAGAACGAAGATCATCCAAAACTCAAAGGATCAAAAAGTGATTAAAATCATCCTCAGAGTGACCAAGCTATTGAAAATCTAAAGGTTAGAACACGTCACCAATTTGGTTATTATTGACAAATACCCATGATGTTCAAAAGAGTCCAAGGATCGCTATTATCCATTTGTGAAGGATTCTAATGGTGAATTAGTGTTTCGTCCTAGCACGTTCGCAAAAGATATTGAAGGTTGGACCACGAGGAAGAATCATAGCAAATAAGATGATCTTATTATAATTTAGTTATCTTACTTTCTTTATTTATGTTTTTGTTTGTTTTTCTGAAAAATTCAGAATTTTGTAATGAACCCTAACAAGTTTATGTTACTTGGATTTTCATTTTGGATTGGCTAGGAGAATATCTTATGTTATATGCTTTTCAAGTTTAAGGAAAATATGTTTATCTTAATAAAATAATTCTCTTAAGTCTTTTGAATTTTCTGCGTTGTTACTCTTGTTGCAAATTTCATTCTTAGTATGATCTATCTTTGCCAATTTGTGACAAAAAAGGGAAGAAATAATATATATGAAAAATTGCTTATTAATGGCATCATAAGATAAGATGGAAATAATGATATATAGCATGATTCATATATGTTTAGACATAATATTTTATACCATGCATGTTTTATATATATATATATATATACACACACTATAGATATGCCTTTGTTTATTTAGTATTTTTCTTGTTCAATATTATTCTCGTAAAAATTAGTAAAGAGGGAGAATATTACATTAAGGGGGAGTAACGATATTGAATTGAAAATGGTGAAATATGGTTTTGGCAAGTTTATGAAAACTACGTGGTTACATGATTATTTAATTGATTTATTCAATTGAAACTTTTAATTTTATGAACTTGGTTGTTATACATCTTACAGATATAATCTCACTTTGGTATAATTTCATATTTGTTTTGCAGAGACTACATGAAAGAAAGTTTCAATGATTATACTTGATGTATTGAGTAGTATTTTGATGTATATTTTCTATATATATATATATATATATATATATATATATATATATATATATATTTTGTCACGAAATTGCCAAAGGGGGACATTGTTAAGAATTTAGAAATTCAGATACTGTAATTAACAAATTTCTTAGTACAAAACTCACTTTTATAATTTAATGATTATAAAGTCACTTGAAGAAAGTTACATCAAAAGGACAATAAGGTCCAAGATGTTTAACAAAGGACAAATCAGTTAAAGAACTACTACAAAGGGTAATTCACCCAAAGTTCTTCTTCAAAAGACAAAATGATCCAATAATAACTAGTAAAATTAGCACATGTTTATTAGTGTAGCAGTGATATAGTAAAATTAGTAATAAAAGTGTTTTAAATAATATTATTACCAAACAAATTAAAAAAATACGTTGAGAATAAAAAGTGTTTTATACAATATGTCATCAAATGCATAATTAAATTTTACTGATAACAGTATTATAACAATTTTAGTGCTAAAAGTGCTATCATCATTCTAACATGCCGCAACCTCAAACACGCTCTAAATATTGTGTGATATAAGAGGTATAGCTAGCTTTGAATTTTAAACTTTTTAGTTATGTGTGATTACTATTGAAAAGTACTTTCATTTTAAAAAATTGTGGTGCAATGTATTTGGTGGAAGAAAAAAAAAACACGCTAATAGGTAGCTGAGTTTACGTCGAAGAAGCATATTTAAGTGAAGTTAGGAATCATAGCTTCTAAAATTGCGTTGCAAGTAGAAGTTCATGTTTTTAGGTAACTAAATTTTTTAGACCGTTTAATCCTTTTATATTTTTATAAATACAATTTTACCCTTACTACAAACAAATAGCAAACAATATATTGGACTATGTAACAAACGAAAATTTTAAATTATTCTAGGACTCTGCAGCCGCAAACCAAATCAGATACAAATTAATCGTCATTAAAATATGTATAACTCATTTATATTTTAGTACTCAGTACAAATTCGATATCATAATATTTAAAAAATAAATAAATTACTGAACTCAATGAAATTTTTAATAAATTAAATAAATAAATAAATTATTGAACTCAATGAAAATTTTAATATTTAATATTAGGGAATTAACACATGTTTAGTGTAAGGGTAATATAGTAAAATTAGTAATAAAAGTATTTTAAGCAACATTATTATCAAACAAATTTAAAAGTGTTTCAAATATAAAAAGTGTTTTATACAATGTGTCACCAAACGCATAAGTGCATCTTATTGATAGCAGTTTTATAATAGCTCTATTATTAAAATCCCTTTTACATTCTAACAGCAATACCGAACGAGCTCTTTACTCTTAATATCTTAAATTAGTCATGATTGTGCATGACTCTAACCGCAAGAAAATGATCAGCGCAGACAAGCCTAAGGGTTAGTGCAGACAAGCCTTTTATTGCTACATTTATAAAAATTACAACGAATTTATATATCCAAAATAAATAACAGGGGTTTTATCTGCACAAAAAGTTAACCTCATAGGTATTTATATACTTTATCGTTAAATAAAATAAAATTTAAGGAAAAAAGAAAAAAAAAAAAAAACCAAACATCTAACTCTAAAATTTAAATTAGTGATTTCATTCATATTTTTGTACGGATAAAATGAGTAAAATTAATAATTTTATATGTAATAATATATTATATTATAATTTCCATTTTTGATGTATCCATACGGCATATTTGTCGTATTTATTTATTAATTTTTTTTAAAGTTCTTATCTTCTTTTACTTGTGTCCTGTGACTCCTCTGAAATTACCCAAAAGCAAAACTACTTCTTTTAAAAAATATTCTAGGCATTCCCTTAATAAAAATTCAGTGGTATTTTTGTGGTTTAGAGAGATTCACCACTATTATCGAAGAAAGAACCCAAAATTAAAATTAAGTGCCCACGTTTTTATTTTTATCCCTTAAGTGTGTAATTTAAAAAATCAGTGTAATATTTTTATAATATTACAAATTTATGTAATTTATAAAAAATAAATCATCAATTCATCTATAAACATGTAAGTTAGAATATTATATTGGGTATCCCTTTTAGCCATAAAACTTCCTTTTATTTTTCTTTGGGTAGGTGGTCACTTAGTACTCCCTTGTTCCTTAAAAAGTGTCACCTTAAATAAAACGCTATACTCACAAATTGAATTGATACAATTTTATAAAAGTAACACTTTGTTTTTTTGAACGGAGGTAATAATACATATTTTAGTGGACAAATTATTTTTTATCCACTTACACGTACACTTTGACTAGTCAACCAAAAGCCGAACGAACACTACATATACGATCCCAAATTCCAAGTCACAATGCTTTAAAACCCAAAACTTAACAAATCCATGCCCTAACTCTACCCTAAAAGTGAAATCATCCTACACTGGTGCAGAACACTGTCGCGGTGGCAATGTCGTCGAACGGCGCAGAGCTTCCCCAAGAGGTGCTAATTGACATACTCTCTCGACTGCCGGCAAAGTCTATCTGCCGATTCAAATGCGTATCGAAGCCATGGCTTACACTAATCTCAGACCCTCATTTTGCACAAACACACCTTAATCGAAACAAACCCCAGAGAGTCATTCTCTTCTCCGACTACCTTTACTCCATCGACTGTGATGAAGCCTCTGATAGCGCCTCTGTAATGGCAACGAAGCTTGATTTCCCACCGATTGATTACCCGAACGAGTTGATCGACATTTTGGGTTCTTGCAACGGTTTGATTTTAATCGCCAACGAAGAAAACACCAAGTTTTTGTTGAATCCAACGACTAGAGAGTCCAAGAAGTTACCCAAATCCCCTTTTGCCCTTGATTCATTTTCCAGTCACACCATGTATGGGCTTGGGTACGATTCGTCTACAGATGATTACAAGGTTCTAAGTGTTGCTTACAATGCTAGATATGAGGATGATGATGATGAAAAAGAAGAATGCACTGATACATTTGTAAGTGTGTTTTCACTCAAAACCGGTGCTTGGAGGAGGATTCAAGATGTTCCCTATGATCATTCTTCTCTAGAGCCTTACTCGTTGGTTCTTGTAAATGGGTCTATACATTGGTTAACTTGTAGGTCTTCCGATTCTTCTTCTGTGATTGCTGCTTTTGATGTAGCAGAGGAGAAATTCCGTGATGTGCCCGCACCTAGCTCAATTGACAACAACCAGTTGGTCTTGCATGGATTGGGAGTATTGGGAGTTTTGGAGGGTTTCTCTGTGTGCTTGTATGTCGTAATAGTATTGAAACTGATGTTTGGGCGATGAAGGAGTATGGGGTTACTGAGTCTTGGACCAAATTTACTACAATCTGTATATCTAATATGCACGTGATGGAACCCTTATGTTTTTTGGTGGATGAGGAAGTTCTATTGGAAATCGATGGAAAGAAATTGGTTGCATTCAATGCCAAAGAGAGAACATCAAGAGATATAGTGGTGCGTGGCATTCCTAGGACGTTCAGAGCAGGGAAGACCTATGTGGAGAGCCTTGTCTCACCCTGTTGCAACTCTGGGATCGAGAGAAAATATAAAGGGAGTCGAAACTTGAAGAATTGTCAACTAAATAGGTAAATAGATGGTGGTTCTATTCTATTGTTTTCTGTTTAGTTCTCATATCTCCATTTTATATATGCCACCATAGTATGAAATTTTTTATCATCTACATAAATATGTTTACGTTATTTATGCTCAAGTGATGCGGTTTTTGGCTTTAGTTGGACTATGTTGTTATAGGTTTATAGTGGGGTTCAATGATGTTGAACTCAGATTTTTTCCCATATGAGTGGTGGGGGTCCATTCAGCATGGTAAGAGTGCTATTCTTCAATCCCTGTACCAAAGAGAAAAGCAAAGTTGAAGTATTTTGATCTTTTCAAGGTTTAATTTTGTTCCATTTCTGGATGACTTGTGTATGAAAGCCCTTCTACCTAATTCTGAAGATATTGTTAACATGTAGATAAAAAATTTAACCTTGTTATTGAGTTATTGGATTAGGTCTTAGAAAATAAATGAAGATATTATCTATGCGTGCCTGGTGGTCCTATGGGAGTAGGAGTAGCTTCTTCAATGCTTGCTTGGGTGCAAATTAAACCATAAGAATAAGTGGGTTCTCTGGCTAATCTAGTGCTAGGTGACAGAACTCATTCAAGTCACAAGTTGTGGACTTGTATTTATGAGAAACATAGAACTATTAAGTATAAGAATATGCATGAGTTCTTGGAGAGAGCTAATAAACCAACATAGAAGGAGTATTATTTCTATTTTTGAATGTTAGAACTATCTAGTCATCTTTGGCTATTGTTATAGTCATTAACATGATGAACTACATAACTTTGGTATCATATTTCTTATTTTCCTTTGTTTTATTTCCTTACGTAATCTATATGACTACAACTAAGGTTGTTTTCCATCTGAGTAATGTGTTTGTGTGCCCCAGTGCGAGCAATGATAGCTTTTTTTTATCTAATACATGAACTGCATAACTATTTTATTATTATTATTATATATTTTTTTACGACTAAGATTTCATTAAAAGGCATCAAGGCTAATACAGGTTTATCAATGCCAAAGTTCCTTCACTCTTCAACACTTAGACTCTGAAGTAAATATAGTTCTTTCTTGTATAACAACGCGATATTCTGTGTTCTACTTTTGTTTCAACCTCCATTTCTGAGACAATATTGCACTCAGGACCATACATAATAGCATTCCCCTCTCAAGGAATTGTTTGCACCTTGGCAAATCTTAGCATTGCTTTTATCATAACCATCATCTCTTTCTCATAGACATGGAATGTAGACATATCAATTTAAGATTTCATTGCAACTACACTATTATTAGCCTTGTTTAGACAATTTGTGGCCATATTGTAGAATTTCTAGAATCTGCATGACAGTATATTTGTTATCTACTCATGACGGTATAATTTGTAGAATCTGCATGACAATGTATATGTTATCTACTATTGACAGTATAATTTCTAGTATAAAATTATAGAGTTATAGTGGGATTCATTGCTGTTGAGCTTTCCTTTTTGATAAGTATTGTCGTTGAGCTTTGATTGTTGCTATATTAGTGGGGGTCCACTGAACATGGTAGGTGAGCTATTATTTCATGCTTGTACCATCGAGTGAAGCATAGTTCAATTGACACAGTATTTTTAGGTTTAATTGTGGTTGTGCCTCTTTCATTGTGTAAGAAACCCTTTCTAGGTAATTTGGAAGAAATAGTTATTACTTATTACACTTGCTTAAGTCTTGAACTCTGATATTCAATGAGGTTGAGCTCCTTGATTGTGAGATGAGCACAATGAATTTTTCTATGTACCTGAGATTATATAGACAAAATTGTCATTGTTTGAATTATCATATTTGGTTTTTAACAAAATTGAAACTATTATTTATGCATTACACATTTAATCTCATTCTATTAGAACCCCATGGTGAACGAGGCATTAAGGCTCATTCTCAAATGACCATCTGAATAAAAAGAACTGAGAGCTCCAATCACCTCTGTCTTCACCAACTCCCAATTTTGTTGGAAAAAAGCCCAAGTGAACCCATCTGGTCCTGGAGTTTTGTTGCCATTGCAACTCTTTAAAGCCTCCAACAACTCTTCCTCCCCAAATGGCCTCTCAAGCCAATCTCTATCACCCCTTAGATTCCTGCAAACTCAAGCCCATCAAGTAAAGGTATCCAGTTAGTAGTCTCTGAATAATTGCTGATAAAACGACACAAACCCAGCCTGAATCTTCTAATAAGAAAAAAAAAAAAACAGCCTGAACATTTTCTTCCCCAGTCACCATATTCCCATCAATACGAATCCTTTCAATCTGATTTCCTCTTCTATGGATGTTTGCTAAGCGATGGAAGAATCTCGTATTCCGATCTTCTTTCAACCAAAGCGCTCTAGATTTCTGCCACCACAAGATCTCCACCATCACCACAATCTTTCCAAACTCAGTCTTGCACTCCTCCCTTCTACTTGCCTCCATGTCGCTAAGGCCCCTCTCTCCCTCCTTCCTATCCAGCTTAGAGATTTCAAGGAGGATTCTGTTGTTGCGCCATTCCAGATTGCCAAGCACTTCTTAATGTCAACCTTCAACAACCTAATTTTGGTAGCTAGAATAGAACTCAGGCTGCCTCTAACCTTATAGCTAGTCCACCAGGTTCAAACCCTCTCTTTGAAGTCTTCTACTCAAAGCTGCATATCCTCGAACCAGAACAAGGTTCTCCCTCTCCCAACCCATCCGCAATCAAGGAGAATTGGAATATGATCCAAAATTGCTCGAGCCAAAGCCACCTGAGATACATTAGGGAACTTCTGCTCCAGGCCCCCAGAAATAAATAATCTATCCAAGCGAGACGGCGTAGGGGATTTCCGACCACTGGACCATGTGAACTGGCTTCCTTCCATCGGAAGATCAAGAAGATGACGAGAGTCAATGAAATCCGAGAACCCTGTCATGGCCGGAGTCCAACTTCATCTTGTGGATCTTTCACTAGGCATCCTAACAACATTAAAGTCCCCTCTCACACACCACGGAGCTGTCCATCTCCTCCTAGCTATCAACAACTCCTCCCACAACCCCTTCCTTTCCGCATCCCCAACTGGGCCATAAACTCCTGAAAACATCCATTTTGAATCATCTTCCTCCAAAGCGAACAAGAGAGAGATAGGTGACATCCCTTTCCATATGTCAACCTTCGAGACCCACCTTTTATCCCAAAGAATCACAATCCCCACCAAAGTCGCCTCTGCATAAATGACCTCCCATTCCTAAACCTGCTTCCCCATAGACTTCTTAACACTCTATCTGTAGAAAAGCCAACTTAGATTCTTGCAAGCACACCACATGCGCCTCCCATTTGTGCATCAAAACCTTCACCGCCTTCCTTTTGTTTGGGTCGTTCAAGCCCCGAACGTTCCAAGACATGATTTTGAGCTTCATAAGCACACAATGTCTTCCCTCTCTCCTCCCAACCTTTCTCTTCTCACTTCCTCCTCGTCTTCTCCCCTCATAGTTCACATAGGAAATGAGATTTTTAAGCTCCCTCTCCCCGATTCCAGCAAGGGCTTTTCGTTTCCTTCACCAGGGCTCACTCATCATCTACCACTTGGAACATATCATGGACATACTTGTCATCTCCTGCACATGTCAGTCCTAAACATATGGCAGAAAACATCCCTTCTCCTGTCATCAGAAGAACCATGACCATCTCAAGATAAATGTGGAATTTAGTTTGCTCAGGAGCCTCTTGTGCATCTTGATACCTGGGACAACATCATTTATTGGGTTTAGAGGTAACGACCTGACCAAGGATCGTGAGGAAGCCCTATAAAGAAAGACTCTCATTTTGTTTTCATTAGTATATTATATTTATCATGAGAAATAAAAGGCAGTTTCAATGGATATATGGATGTTAGTACTGTTAATGCCAAGATTTTTTATCTGTCGGATTTCAAGCTTCTATTGGAAGATTTCTTTCTTTTCACTACAAGAAAATAGGTCATCTACGAGTGTCTGGACCTCCCGCGAATACTTTTTCATGAGACTTCTGAGCCCCTCATCTATTATGGTCTTGTAAATACTCCCCACTTACTACGAGAAAAAATAACACTCGTAGAAGATTAAAGCACGACGATTCTAGCTTCCCGTAAATAAAACTCTCACGAAATTTCTAGCCTCTCGTTAATAATTAATTTAATGAGAAAAAAAGGTCTTTTACGAGCGTCTGGACCTCCCGTAAAAAAGTTTTCACGAGACTTTTGAGCCTTTGTCTATTATGATCTTGTAAATACTCTCTACTTGCTACGGGAAATAATAACTCTCGTAAAAGATTAAAGCACGACAATTCTAACGTCCCGTAAATAAAACTCTCAAGAGATTTCTGGCCTTTCGTTAATAATTAATTTATGGGATAAATAAAATGTCGTATTAATTAATTAACGAGATGGTTATCCTCTCGTGAATTTAAAATTTACAATAGTTATAGCCTCTTGTTAATAATTAATTTACAAGATTGATGACATCTCGTTAATACTTAATTAACGAGTTCTTTATCCACTCGTCAATAACTAATTAATGTGGTACATGACCTCTCGTTAATAATTAATTAATGTGTTACATGGTCTCTCGTTAGTAATTAATATACGACACATTTGACCTCTTGTCAATACATCAATATATTTTATTAACGAGGTCTACAGCGCCCCGTAGATATATATATATAATAAATTAATGCATTCTGCTACCCAATCATTCACATATATAACCTGACCATAATTTCAACTAAACAATTATATAAAATGCTAAAAATTTACACTTAATACCAATACCAAAAATAATTCATGTTTAAATTCACTATTAAACATATATCAAAAGAGTAGACATTAATTTACAATTCATCATTAATTGTTCAATGTGCCAAAATTAAAGAAAATTCAATATTTCCCAAAAATAGATATCAATCTTCACATTGTGCATTAATTCTTGAAGCAAGTTGACTTCCAATTTTTCACACTTCCTCCACTTTGTTGTTCATTGTACAAAATCCAAGCAAGTACCTGCATCACACAAGTCCTAATTTTAGTATGATAATAATGTATATGAAGTAATGACAAAATGGTAGTTTTCTATTTATACTCTCTAAAATATTTACCAAGGTGTGATAAAAAATGGAGTACCACACTTTGAGAAGCCAAAAACAATAAAAAAAACCCCCAAAAAGAAATATGCAATCCACATGCCCATGCTTTGCCAGGGACTCAACTCCGTCATGCAATCGTCCAATTCCAGATAGAACAAAAACATCAAAAAAGGGCAAACACCCCGCAAGTGCAAGTTCCACGTCTACAACTTGATTACCAGGAATGTCAACTGCTAATAAAGGTTTAAACATAGAATGTAAGAAACATAACTGTTATGTTCTTTAAATCTCTAAGGCACATTGATAGTTTGACATCAAAGAAAAAATAACTTTAAGATGGAACAAATATAGTTAATAGTTGTAAAATAACAACAAAGCTAAGCTCATGCTAATAATTTGTTCAAGAGGACATATTAAAGAACTCATTGGCTTCAACATAATATATTACAAGAAAAACATATTGGAGAAATTATTAGAATCATATCAACAAGTGAAAATAGAGAGAGATTTCACAAACACATATATATACACACACTGGAATTTCTGTGTGAACATCATTGCATACATGGGCTAGCTTATGATTGGCAGAGTTAGGGGACCTTCAGAACTATTTTTATCTATTTTTGTTTATTGGTTATATTGCTTGGTTGTGGTTTCCAGTGGCTCCGCAGATGAGTATTGATTGCTAGAGTGTAACCTAGCACAGAGGACTCTTTTCTATTGTCAGCAGGGAGAGGAGACATAGAGTGAGAGCGGACTCTTCGATCACTTGTGCACCAATCCCACTTCCTGAAGTACCTGAAGCACACTAATACAACCAGTGCTGTTGATTCTAGATGCAATTGTTCTTTCTTTTTGGGGTTCGAACAATAGGTTTAGCTCTTCCCATCCATGCCCTGCCTTCCAGAATTGACACATATTTATTTCTAGGCTTCCATTCTTCACAAGTGTAATATGCTATGTGCTGATTTTGTATCCCCCCCGGCGATTGTTCCTAGTACTCTTCTATCTCTACCTAGCTATTTTGCGTCTTAAAGATGAATAGATGAATATACAGATGTGTATAATTGATAGTGGTGGGTTGGGTTTAATTGATTTTCTTTGTTGCGTTTTAGAAATTGTGTATATATTTTAATTGGTTTAAAATTTTAAGCAGTTTGTGGCAGTAGTACTCTTTGGTTTGCTAATCTGGCAATATACCTTGAATGTGTTGTTCATGAATTTGCATATAAAGGATTGGCTCATTAAATTCTTCCTTTTATGTTTAAAAAATCTAAATCTCTAATTGCCATTAGGCTAATTTTGGCATATAATCTTTAATGTATATTGAGTATCAAGAAACATTAAGATTGAAATTTGTTGAATTTAATTTTAAAATAAAAGGAAATTAATTTATTTGAAGGTTTTTGGGCAGGATTGGAGTGATTTTACCTTCTAAAGGGGATGTGTTCTTTCTTTGAAGACATAAATCTTCATAGTTAAGGTGAGTGCTTGATCTAAATTTCTAACACATATATATATACTGAACTTACAGGAAAAGGGACAGTCTTTGATATTCAACTAAGCTTGTTTGATTTTCAAAAATGGTGCTAAGCACATGATTTTACAATATATCAGTTCTAATTAATAATCTGTTCTAAATTCTTTGTATGTAATATTTCTTAGAACTGGACAATTCCAGGTCTTTGATATTCAACTAAGCTTGTTTGACTTTCAAAATTGGTTCTAAGCACATGATTTTACAATCTATAAGTTCTGATTAATAATCTGTTCTAAATTCTTTGTATGTACTGTTTCTCAGAACTGGACAATTCATGGTCTTTACTGGGGAAACTATAAAATACATCAACCACGTGTACTAGAAGAATCTTTGAATGAACTGCTACCTGGTTGACAAAGGGCTTAATCACCATCCACATTTCTCATACTTACAACCTGTCAGAGGTTAGCAGCTCCTACTTGTGCTTGTTTTCTTTTTTATTGAAGAGAGCTCTTTGTTAAATGAGATTTTGTAGTAGCGATAATTCCTATAACCTCTGTTATTTGCATTCTTTACTTTACCCTACATTATAAGTGTTGACATGACATGACATGAGTTCTGACATGGGATCTGAAATGCTGATTGATGATCTTTGGGATATAGATGAACCTGAAACCTAACACTAACTTGACTTGTCATTTCTAGCGGAGTTCATTTAAGATAGACCATAATCCATTAGAATGAACTATGAATTCACAGGATTCTAGAACTGTGTTTCTTTCTTGGTCTTCCAGTGTAAAGATTCACCTTAGCTACCTTATTCAGTATCCTGGCATATGGTTGTCAGGGCAGGCAGGTTTAAATATATATGTGTGTTTCTTTTTAAGTACCAGAATTTCATTTATTTTGGATCTTTTCTGCTATTGCTAGCTGTTTAATTTGTTGTTGTGTTATTGATCTCATTCTTCCAACTCGTTATCCCAAATGGCCACTTGTTTTACTGATAAAAGCAGTGCAGTATACACAAGGTTTATCACATACTAAGGCAAATGATTTATTATTTTCTCACAAGAAAGAAGACAAAAAATCCTGTGGACACTAGTGAATAGACCTTCCTCTTTTCCTTGTGAACTATTATTTTCTTCACAAAAAAGAAGACAAAAAATCCTTTGCAAGTAATTCCTAACCTTTTTATTAAACCAATAGGCTGCTTTATAATACCTAACTTTCTACCTCACATACACAACAACAACCAACAACAACTTCACAACAATCAACAACAAATACCAATCAACCACAACCTCCACATACGATGTTCCCATACTCCCATGTTATATCAATGCAATAAAGTAATGGCCACGACAAGGACCCATGCTTTCAACATTAAAGTAATGGCCACGACAAGGACCCATGACTTCACATAGTGATAATGAACTGCATTAGCTAGTAGAATTCAGAACATACCTGCCAGAGATGAAGATTGAGAACCAGAACTACACTCCTAATCTTACTTCAAAAGTAATGGTTTTGTTATGCTCCTTCTAAGCTGGTTAAAATAGATCCTGTGAGGAAAAAAATTAAAAATGTAATGCCAACATATATAAAAAAAATAAAAGAAAATAAAATCAGATCATATGTTAATTACTACTTTTCAAAAAAAAAAAAAAGTTAATGAATGACCAATTGACCTCTAGAACTTTTACATATTTGGTAGGCCATAAAACCATGCTTGTGCGAGCATCACGAAGATAAAAAATTCCAGATTGGTTTGCTTGATACAAAGGGCAATCCTTGTCGATGACATCATTAATCCAAACATTCCAACAATCTGGACCGACTGGAACATAATCATCTGACAGTGCATCGGGATCTGTTGTTGCAATCTCAGCCTTGGCAACAACTACGCCTGATCCATTAAAGTGTAATAGCTCACACATGTAACCTTGCAGATTAGTTGGAATAGGATTTGGAGTAGCATTGGACTGAGAAGCAACACAAGCATTTTGGGACTACAATTCAACCAAAACATAGATTAAACATAATTAGTTCTTTATATTCAAATGACATATTGACAGGGAATTATATGTATATAATTATGTTTAACTTCACTATAAATTGTAATACTAGTTATAAGACTTACCAACAAAGCTTTGATCTCAATCATTATTTCAGCTTTGATTTCATTCCTCATTTCATCTTTCATGTCATTCATCATTTCTTCCATTCTCTTCGCTTGGTCTTTCTGATAACCAATTGCTTGCATTTTTGAAATTGTAGCTCCAAAACCGAGGCCTCTAACCCGTCCTCAACGTTCGGCACCAAATACGTGAGTGACTTCATCATCTTGAAGAGAGCTTGTGCCTTCAGGTTGGGTTTGGGTGTAATCTCTCATTTTGGGGAGATTCACTCAAATATTCCCCATGAAAGTACCAAGTCGTGTATGTTGGATCCATTCCATGTTCCACTACATGACCATATACTGTGTCAAAGTGTTGGTGTACTGAATTTCGACATTCATTACAAGGGCATAGAATCTTGTCTGGATGCCCCGCATTCTCTTGAGCCCAATCGGCACACCTTCGTGCTCCTTCTATATACTTTGGATCAACTCTATAAAATTAAAACTTTAACTTTTAATTAACTATAAAATTAGTGTAAAAGATTTAACTTTTATAAACACATTCCACTACATATAATAACCTGTAAGAGATGTGCATCTATTCTTTATCCATCACTATTTTCCTAATTATTCAATGGGAACCTGTCACAAAAAGTAAATTATGAAATATATGATTATTCCATGGTGTGTGTGTGTGTGTGTGTGTGTGTGTGTGTGTGTATATATATATATATATATATATATATATATATGAACAATAAACACAATTTGTAAAGTTGCTAATTCCATCAATCATGTTTAAGCTAAATGGGTTTCATAAGCAATTTGTAATATTTTTAGTTTATTGGAAACTTCAAATTTCTCTGTTAAGAAAAAAACATAGAGATGGGAGCAGATTATTAGTCAATTCAATCTGCCTCGCTAGTTCAGCTTGCTAGTAAATTTAGGGATTAATTTTTTAAGTTCATGGATATGAGGATTTCTAATTCAAGAACCATACTCCTAAAACTATTTAGGCATTTGATGAATAAAGAAAACCATGGTAAATGTAGCAACAAGATTATGAGCTCAGTTTTTGTATTTGTAATTTGTTTTGGCATAATTGATCTAATAATGAAAATCTCTGCTTGCATCTCAAAAAAAAAAAAAAAAATTTGCAAAGGAAGAAAGAGATAAAGAAAAAAAAATAATAGAAAACTGCATACATCTAGTTCAGTAAATGGACATTATGTTAAGATTATGAGAAATTACATTATGGTAATGAGTAAATACAGGAGGATGAATGCATATAGACGCAACACCCAAATTGAATAGATAAAAATATGAAATTAAAAGAACTTACCAGCATAAAATCTTTGACTCAGATACTTAACGGTGTTCGCAGCATGTTCTTCCTCTATAAACTGAAAATAAACATTACCTATTTTTCATTAAAGCAAAAGTGATATTATACGACAAATCAAACAAAAAGCACAAGAAATTTTGAACACCACCAAGCAAGCTGGGAGTGGGTACATAAAAGGGAGGTTTAGGGCTGATGTATTATTCTTCAAAATGTCACATGAGGTCTATAATTATAGGTAAAAGTGGCAAGAAATCACACATTTTTTACTGTTTTGTTGTGATTAAAAGTTGAACAACTTTTCAAATTGTAAAAAGAAATTCAATATTATTGTGATTAAAAGTTTAACAACTATAGCAAGAAATTCAAATTATAAAAAAAAAAAATTCATATGAAACAAAAACACTACATAGTAGAAGCTAATACAGAAACATTCCCGTCAAAATAAATAAATAAATAAATAAATTACAGAACATTCAAAACAAAAAAGGGTGGTTCTATTGGTGGTTCTATTTATTTTCCTGCAATTGTAACTAATTAAATAGCATACCATCAATCCATATCAATTTATATATATATATATATATAGATCAAATAGTATGTGTGTTTGCCAATCTCAAGCTTGGTAAAGGAAATTGGAGATGTACACATCACTATGTGCGATTTCACCCCACTAGGGGCGATTTGTGAGGCGATCTGTGTTTTGGTTGTTTGGAATGAAATCTTTTCTGGATATTGCAAGGTTACCAAGAATTTCGCTTGGGGGAGATGTGAAGTCGGCGGTTCCTCATCGCGGTCCGTCGTTGTATATCGACGGGGAATCCGTCAGAGGAAGGATATCTGTTCTCTCCTCTTGTTTGGTCGGAAAATTTGACAAGGAAGTGGGGAGTTGTGATCGCGTGAAAGAATGGGCAGCGAGGGCTTGGAATACGACTTGTGGAGTGGGGGTTTCACCGTTATCCGATTCAATGCTTCTTTTCCGGTTTCCTTCTCAGGCAGAGGCCAAACGTGTGGGGTTCTGCAACTTTGAGGATTGACGTGTGGTCCTTTCGTGTTGGTTGCCGTGGCGTTCTCAGTGATCAAGGTCTCAAGCAGATCTGGTTGTTTGGACTTCCATTACATTTATGGTGCCATGCTCTGTTCGTCGAAGTGGGAGAACTTTGTGGTGGTTATGTCAGATCTGACGCGGATGAGACCAGGGATGCTGAAAGCGTTTGGATAATAGTACGAGTTGGTCGTGATTGTCCGAAGTTTGTGTATATCAACGACGACACTTCCTGCTACAAGGTCGCGATTTGGGAAGAAATTTCGCCGGAGCTTGTTCCTTCAACGGAAAGTCTTGAAGGCAGTGACGGATCTCATCTTATGTCGGAAGAAAAATGGAATGAGCTTCTTAGCAAAGGTGAAGAAGGGATTCTCGAAATTCAACAGTGGCTGAAGGATCGTGAAATTCAGCAAAAGGTGAAGTTTATTGGAGGTAGACGACGAGGTGAGATTCACACGCCGAGCAAACGCGTCGTTGATGAGTAACACCGGTGTACACGTGGTGAACAATGGGCTACCCCTTCAGATTCAGCTCTATCCTTATTTCTTGAAGATAAGGTAGGGAAGGATTATTTTCGGGCTGATAAAGGTTTTACTTTGGGCCATAAGTTATCAAGACAGGTCAGGAAATTTGGGTCTGATAATCATGGGCTCATTCAATCTCAACCTTACAGAGCGTATTTGGGTTCTGGGCCTGTTAGAAGAAGACTACAGAAAGGGCCACTTAGATTTGGTCAAACTGGGCAACTCCAAACTGGGCCTCTCAAGTTTGGGCCTATTAGAAAGGTACGAAAAGGGCCTAACTCATTATCAATCTCACTTACAAACATCAAACCTGGTCCTAATGAATCACAAGCCCATACCAAACCCTCTAATATTTTGATGAAATCCGAGAGGAGATTGACGAACGTCAGACGCCATGGATCTCGGTGGACTCGGAATGAAAAGTAGAAATGGGTCGCACGTTCTTGCACTTCTTCTCCGGGTTTGAGTCCTAATCTTTCTCTCAACACTCTTTCTACTTCTTCTCCTTCTTCTTCGGGTGAAGTGGCTAGCGACAGGAAAGTTGCTGAGAATGTTTCGGGTCAACAGAGAAGTATCATTGGGATTTCGACTTCAAAATCAGAGTTGGACGTCTCAAAGGTTATTACCGAGAGTACGGGTTTTCTCAATGGAGTGACAGTTTGTGTTGGAAAAGATTTGCATTTCAAATTGAATAATGATTCAGCCGTAGCTTTGCTTAAAGAGCTTCGGCTATTTACTTCAGTTAAAGGTTTGAGCAATTTTTCATCTGAGCATGAGGAGTTTTTAGTAATCCCATCCAAAGAAGTTAATGCTTCGGAAATAGAGGGGATTTTACAGGAAGGAGTGGTTGATGTTGCTTTTCAGCAGCACCCTTTTAACGCATCTTTTTCCGGGACAGATCTTGTTCACGATGAAGTGGACTTTATGGAACCTTTGGCTGTTGTGCGGCCTGATTGTTTGGAGACAACCACTGATCTGGGCATGGAATGGGTCATTGAGAATATTGGAGCAGTTAGTGAAGCTTTGGGTGTCTCTGCAGAAGGTTATGAGGAACAAACCCTGTGTATTCTCCACGAAATTATTGCAGGAAATGGTAGTAGTGAACCAATTCGTGACACAAAAGAAGTCAAAGTCAGAAATTCACATCGGAAAGGCGAACAGGAAGTGAAGAATTTGATTTCTTGTGTTAACTACGATGGAAAGAATGGGTCAACCAAAGAAAGGGGGAGAACCAGGAGTGGTAAAAGGGGAGGAGGTGAATTGATTGTTTTTGGTTCTTCATGAAGCTACGACTTATAACATGGAATGTTCGTGGTCTTAATGACCCGAAAAGAAGAAGAGTTATCAAGGTCGCTTTGAGGAAGTGGAGTGCTCATGTTGTCTGCTTACAAGAAACTAAATTGGCTGATATTACTGTTGAGATTGTCAGGAGTCTTTGGGGAGGTAGGTTTGTGGACTTTGAAGTTTTAAATGCAACAGGCACTTCAGGTGGTATTCTTCTCATGTGGGATCGTAGATGGTTGTCAAGTTTGAACTGTTGGAAGGGTATTTTCTCGGTGTCATGCATGTTTCAAATGGAAGAAGACAATTTCAAATGGACGTTTTCAGGTGTGTATGGGCCTGTTACTGATAGTGATAAACCAGTCCTGTGGGAAGAGCTTTTCTTTGTTAAGGACTTATGGTCATTGCCTTGGTGCTTAGGTGGGGATTTTAACTCTGTTAGATTCCCATTTGAGAGATCCACAGGAGGTAGGTGGTCTTCAGAAATGACCATGTTTTCAGAATTTATTGACAATAATTTTCTTATCGATCTTCCGTTGGAAGGAGCGGCTTTTACTTGGTCTAATGGTAGGGAACCGGTTACTTTTTCTCGATTGGATCGTTTCCTGATTTCTGGGGCTTGGGAAGAGCATTTCCCGGATGTCTCTCAGGCTGTGTTGGTTAGAGTCACATCTGATCATGTACCTTTTGTTTTGGATTGTGGTGGTTTGAGGTCTAGACGCACTCCTTTCAGATTCGAAAACATGTGCCTTAGATCTGAAGACTTTCAAGGGAAGGTTCAGTCTTGGTGGCAAAAAGGGTCTTTCACAGGCTCTGCTAGTTATGTGTTAGCTAGAAAGCTTCAGTTTCTTAAAACTGAGCTTAAGAGATGGAATAAAGAAGTTTTTGGGAATCTTGAATGAAAAAAGAATAGAGCCCTTGCTGATATTGCTGAGCTTGATCGTTTAGCTGAGGTGGGACAGAGTAGGGAGTCTTTACGCTCTCAAAGAGCCTCTTGTCAAGCGGTTTTTGCTGAGATTGCTCATATGGGGGAGATTTCGTGGCGTCAAAAGTCTCGGGCTTTGTGGTTAAAAGATGGTGATCGGAATACAAAATTCTTTCATAGACTGGCCAATGCTCACAAAAGGTGTAATCATATCGGACGTATTCGGGTTAATGGTTCTGATTTGTGGAGAGAAGAAGATGTGCGCGGAGGAATTGCTTCTTTTTATCAGCAGCTTTACACTAAAACTTTGGATCGAAGACCTACTCTTGATGGTCTTCCATTTAATACTTTTTCTGCGTTGGATAGGGATAGTATTGAGATTCCATTCACGGAAGAGGAAGTGCTTAAGGCACTTTCTAGTTGCAACGGGGACAAAGCACCAGGGCTAGACGGATTTACTATGCGCTTTTTTAAGGAGAGTTGGGAGGTGGTGCGAGAGGAGGTGATGAGCACTTTTCAGGATTTTTATTCTTATGGCACATTTGAAAAATCTTTGAATGCATCTTTTATTGCTCTCATCCCTAAAAAGGGCGGTTCATCTGATATCAAGGATTTTCGGCCAATTAGCTTAATCGGATGTATGTATAAGCTTATTGCCAAGGTTCTTGTATCCAGGATGAGTAAAGTGTTGGATGGTCTTATCTCAGAATCGCAGAACGCTTTTGTTGGTGGAAGGCAGATTTTGGATTCTGTTCTTATTGCTGGGGAATGTGTTGACTCTAGATTAAGAAGTGGGGTTCCTGGCATTTTGTGTAAGCTTGATATCGAGAAAGCTTATGATCATGTTAATTGGAAGTTTGTTTTGTATCTTCTTCGGAGGATGGGATTTGGTGATACATGGATAAAATGGATTGACACTTGTATCTCATCAGTTATGTTTTCTGTTCTTGTGAATGGCTCTCCTACGGGTTTTTTTGCTAGCTCACGTGGTCTGCGACAAGGTGATCCATTATCTTCTTTTCTTTTTCTCATCGTTATGGAAGGTCTGACTAGATTAATGAGAAAAGCGGAAGATTTGGGTTACATTAGGGGGTTCAGAGTTGGCAGAGATGTTGATCATCAGATCCAGATTTCCCATCTTTTATTTGCTGATGATACTTTGGTATTTTGTGATGCTGCTATTTCTCAACTCAGATATCTGAGGTGCACTCTTGCTTGCTTCCAAGCAGTTTCTGGGCTTAAGATTAATGTCGGAAAGAGTGTGCTTGTTCTAGTGGGGGATGTTCCAGATATTTCCTCCTTAGCTGCTGTTTTAGGGTGCGGAGTTGGTTCTTTTCCTCTTCCTTATTTAGGATTGCCTTTGGGAGTTTCTTCTACTCTGGTTGGGAATTGGGATTCAGTGATTAATAGATATGAGAAAAGATTAGCAGGATGGAAAAAGCAGTATCTATCTAAGGGTGGGAAAGTCACACTTATAAAGAGTACTCTTTCATCCCTTCCTACCTATTTTTTATCTTTGTTTCAAATTCCATGTTCTGTTGCTGATAGAATTGAAAAAATGCAGAGGGATTTTCTGTGGGGTGGAAGGGGAGAGGAGTTTAAGTATCATCTTGTTAATTGGGATCAAGTTTGCCAACCATTGAGATTCGGAGGGTTAGGCATTCGAAAAATTGTTCCTTTTAATCGTGCTCTCTTAGGAAAGTGGTTATGGCGATTTGGAAGGGAACGACATCGTCAATGGAGAAGAGTTGTCTCGTGTCGTTTTGGTGAGGGGAGTGGGGGTTGGTCATCTCTTCCAGTCACTATTACGGGAGGCGTTGGTTTGTGGAAATTTATTCGGAAGGGATGGGAAGTCTTCTCTACTCTTATTAGATTCAAAGTTCGTAATGGTAGGCATGTTCGTTTTTGGGAGGATCTTTGGTGTGGCGACCAGTTGCTTTCACACTCATTTCCTAGGCTTTATAGCATTGCAACTAATAAGCATGTTTTCGTGATTGATTGTTATCATCTTGATAACAATGGAGTTACGTGGGATATGCGGTTTAGGCGGTCTTTTCAGGATTGGGAAATGGAGGAAGTCTCTGCTTTTGTGGATATTTTGTATAGGCAGAAGGATATTGGCAGAGGGTGTGATGATATTTTGTGGGTTCCTTTGGCTCATGGTCGGTATGATGTCCGCTCTATGTTTATTCATTTATCCAATTTCGTTGGTTCCGAGTTTCCTTGGAAGT